GGAGAGAAGTTTAGTTTTGGAGGCGTAAAAATTAACAATACATCTTGTAACTACAGACTTAAGGTCGTTTTGGACATCGGCTTCCATTTTGACCTTGTCAGACCTTTGGCAGTTTTTTGGCAGATCTTATATTCACAATATGAGATACTTAACAACAAAAGCGATCAAAACATAAACAAAAAGAAAATAAAACTAAATTAAATTGTCTAGACAATATACTCAAACACATATTAAACAAAAGAATAAATTTAAAACTAAGAATTTCAGCCTCCTCTCTCCTTTGTGTGCATATGCAGTCACATCAATGTTGTTATTGTATTGCAAACATCACTTTAGTTTAGTCCGATGACGTCCAAACAATAAAAGTGCGGATTCATTTGCATTGCGGCTACAGCACGGCAGCCATTACTGGCGTTGTTTAACTACATTTGCCTCGGTGCTGTCATTCAGTTATAACACTAACCCTTGCGTAGTAATTCAGACGTGTAAGATCAGTAAAAAAAGCCGTTAACTAAGTAAGCTGCCGCGAATGATAACTCCGAATGTATGTAAACAACGCTAGTAATGCCGGACGTGAATGAGTCCGAAATGTTATGGTTGATACGTCCAAAACAGTAGATTTTAGCAAAATTTCTTTGTTATTTTCGAATTAAGCATGTACATTTGCACCTAAATGTAACTATTCGGAAAATTTTTATTAGAAACAGAGCGCGGGTCGTATACTGCAAATAACTTATCTAAAATTATTAGAATTTAACGCGTTTAAATCCGAGCTGAAATTTGTAAATCAAATGATCAGTAATAAAAAATAATCAGTAACAACACAATAACAATAGTTAACTAATGGAGAAAAGGGAGATAACTGAGGCATCCGGAAGAGGCACAATCTATTCAAGGGTTCATGTCGAAGATCCAATCACCTGACGAAGGCAGGGGCATACAACAGCCGAAACATAATGAATATGACAACAAAGATCAGGACAATAGTTCGAACAATGTAAATGTTGTAAACAATGAAGGAAAGAATTTAAAAATTATGATTAAATCTGTAGTGTAAATAAATTCAATAGATCTCTATCTGACCATGAAATGCAGTGTATCCACAATATTTCAAGTAAAATTCTTTGTTTTTTTTTTCATGTTATTATATTCAATAGATTTATCTGATAACAACGATCAGTGTATCTGCGAAACTTTAAAAATCCGATAGTCTTTTGAAAATTTCTCTGTAAGTACCTCCAAAGAATATGAACATGCATGAGAAAATGCCTAAAATTTAATAAAACCAAAATTTTATTGTCAAAATCTTTGTATTATTATTAAGAAATAACCAACGGATATTTTGATGAAAAAAATATTTTTTAACCCTTTTTAGAACTTTTGAAATTTAAAAAAAAATATCTTCTTTCTCTGGAGTCAACGGGGGACCATAAATTAGTATGGGAAATTTCAGCGTCTTTTTTTAGCTGAAAGGCAGATTGATTTGGACATTCTTGCAAAAATTTGATAATTGTCGGATTACAAGAAAACTTTCAGGACTTATTTGCGTGTGAATAAAATTATTTTTTAAACGTTTTCCGTTTTGAAAATTTGGTGAAAATAAATACATTATTTTTACATTTGTTACCCACTTATTCTTTTTTTGCTTAATGCTTACACGTACAATTCTTGTTTGTTAATTTGCAAGTTCAACGAATTAGTAGCTTCGTCCAGATTTTCAATAATCTCAAATTCCTGACGTAACTTGAAAGAATTCTGTTTCCTTTTTCTTCCAGGTGAAGTTTCTTCTATTCGAGACATTGTGGGTTAAGAAATTTCAAGTTACTAACAATTATCTGCAAAGAAAAGAAAAATATTAGAATGTAGCATATTCCAGCAGCATCTAAATGGGAACGCAGAAGTTGAGAACTTATATATATATATATATATATATATATATATATATAAGCATTTCACCCCAGGCAAAGCGGAAGTGGCATTAGTTCGCAAGGGGTTACAGAGGGTTGAGAACGAGTAAAGAGGCGTATATGAGGAAAGGATTAAGAGGAAGACGGGGAACAAGATCAAGGCATCAGAAGATGTCGATTGACACTACACTTGAATATTTGAAGATTATAGTTATCAAGGAAGCAAGTAAGAGGAAGGGTGTTCCACGGACGAGGAGTACGAGAGAAGAAGCTGTTTGAGTAGAAGAAACTGAAAGTAGCTCGTCGGAACAGTTGCCGTGAAAATACTTATAGAAGAGACAGAGGAGAGCCACAGCACGTCTGTGAGAAAGTGACTGTAGACGAGATGCCAGATCAGGACCTATCACACTGCATATTCATCGCTGAATCTTGTCGAGGACTTCGAGACGTACAGCGGGGACACCAGACCATATATGACAGTATTATTCCATGCTAGGACGGATGGCTGATTTATAAATTTGAAGGATGGACTCAGACGAAAAACTTTCTGGCACGACACAGAGAGCCAACTTTCCTTGCAGTAGATGAAGCAATTGATTCAATGTATTTTGTTCCACCTCAGGTCAGTGGACAGCGTGAGACCAAGCAAGCGTAACGAGGCGCACTCAAGGAGTCGGGAACCAGTCATTCGAGAGGAAGGGATCTCTGGGGTGGGTAAAGGAGAGCAGTTTCGTTTTGGAGGCATTAAAGTTTACAAGCCATTTCCTGCCCCAGTCAACCATAGATAAGAGGTCCTTTTCGAGACCAGCGGCCAAGTTAGTTTTGTTAACGATACCAGATTTACTGTTGAGACAAGAGTAAATAGTAGTGTCGTCCGCGTAGATACCTACTTGGGAACTGATGACCTTGGGAAGGTCGTTAATGACGATTAGGAACAGTTTAAGACCCAAGATAGAGCCTTCGGAAACACCAGCGTTCATGATAAAGGATCTGGAGGAGAACCCATTTAGGACGACCTTCATTTCACAGTTTGACAGGAATTACTGTATTAAGTCAAATAATCGTTCTGTAACGCCGTATCCCTGAAGCTTACGAAGAAGGCCGGCATGCCAAACCCTATCAAACGCTTTAGAGATATCTAGAGCCACGGCTCGAGCTTCACCGTTATTGTCAAGTGCTTGGTATACAAATTCGGTTATGGTGGTGAGCACGACAGCTGTAGATCGGGCAAAGCGGAAGTCATATTGCTTATCAGAGAGCAGATGTAAGGTGCTTAACCACTTCGGTGTTGATTAAATCCTCGAAGACTTTACCGAAGAGTGCTAGGAGACTGATAGAACAGTAGTTAGATGGTTCAGAAGGGTTTCCAGAGTTTTTAAAGACAGGCACAACAGACGAGGACTTCCAAGAAGCTGGAAAACAAGAGCCAGTGAGGCAATAGTTGTAAAGTTTGGACAGGACAGGAGCCAGTTCAGGAGCACATTCCTTCGTGACAATTACCGGTGTCCCGTCCTTACCACTAGCGTTATGGGAGTCTAATTTAGAGCTGATGTATAATACCATCGCTGGGGTTATATGCATCTCACCCAGTATAGCCTCAGTTCTAGGAGGAAAATAAGGTGTAGGTACACCAGATGAGTCTAGGGTTGAATCGAATGAGAATTTCCGAGCAAAACATTCAGCCTTATCAACTAAGGATGTTAGGACCTCAAATTGATCGAATAAAGCGGGTATTGTAGGTTTTCTGTCGTTCAGCACGCTCTTATATTCAATAATCTTTAGAACCAAACTTGTGAGACGTAATACGTTGTTTCATTATTTCTGCAAAGAGTAAATTTTCTTTGTTGAGGACACGCTTGCACTCATTACGAGCAGTGACAAAGAGTTATCTGTTTCAATCAGACGTGTCGCTACGGTAGAGACTGGCAACAGCAGCTGAGCAACCAAGGGGATGGACGCGATTTCACTTTACATTGCGAGGATGAAAACCTCGATTCCAGCTTTTACCCATGATGAGACTTCAGAGGCACATTTTTGTACGGGGAGTTTAAAAAACAACATTCCAGGGGACATCGCGAAAGGGATCATGGAACGAATCCCAATCTGCTCATTGATAACAGAACGATGTTCTGTTGGTAGGAGGTTCTTTGCTGGGGGAGGAGTGGAAGGAGATGTTAACAGACACGACGGCATGATCAGAGTTGCCAGGAGGCCAGAGCTGCGTGGCACGACAAGACTCGGGGATGGAAGTTAAACAGATCGAGAAGGAAAGCCTTACCATTATGCTTACTGGGGGAAACCCGTACGAAAGTCATCTATTTGTGTGAGAGATTGAAAAGTTAAGCGTTTGTATACCAGGAAGATCAGTTACGGAGTTTTTTAAGCCATTTGGTATGGTGGGCATTAAAGTCATCGAACACAAATATATGTGCAGACGAATGTAGAGAGATAGCCTTATCTCTCTCTTTCTCTCTCTCCACACACACACACACATATATATATATATATATATATATATATACTGAAGGCGTATCAAAAATAAGTTTGTAAATCCTAAGTCTGCGTCAAAAATAGCAGTGACAGTTAATTGACCAATTGAAATTGTATTTTAAACATTTCTTTATTTTTAGTGTATATATACGTACATGTGCAAGTGTAAAAATACTTATTTTTATTTTTTATTCTGTATTCAAATTGTATCTCATGAATTTAAAACAATACTGAAAGTAACTTTTCTAATTTTAGTTTTTAATTGTATAAATAAATTTGATGATTGCAATGTCTGTGATGTGCTGGTGAAGATGGAAGTAATTATCGTAATGAACAAGAAAATAAAGAAGAGATACGAATAGACAAGTTTCAAATGAATTTAAGATTTTCGCTGAGTTATTTTTTCATTAAAACTTATGGCGTTTATTGTACACATAGGTTTTGCCAGGAAAACGTTTTTCTTTTTTTTTGTTTTCTATGACTATTTTATTCGTTTAACTTCCTTTCATTCGCATTTTTTAATTATTTTTACTTTTTTTCTATTGCTCTTATTTTAATTTTTCTTTCCGTTTTGTTTTTGTGAATTTATTTAAAAGTTTAAAGTTTTCTTCCTTCCTCTCTCTCTCTCTCTCTCTCTCTCTCTCTCTCTCTCTCTCTCTCTCTCTCAACCCTTTTATATTTTTCTTGGCACCGCCCTCGACTGATGCATGATATATTAAAAAGGACATCTATCTTTCTGCAGTATAACCTATGATAAACTTTGGACACGGACAAAATGAACAAATTTCCTTTATAAAACTAAAAGGAAAACTAACAAAAATATATATGACAAAACAGAAAAAGAAATAAAAAAAAAACTTGCCCAAAATGTTGGCTCTCCACACCTCGTTAATCTTCCAAATATTGATTAGAAAAATCCATTTTTTTATTGTTAGTTAGATTTTTTTTCCTTTCGGTCAAATATTCTTGTTTTTCCTTTTCTCTGACACCTTGTATTATTATCACAATTGTTAGCATTATATTGTTGCTGATTTCATCATCTTCATCTGCCTTTCTACGCAGTTTTCTTTTGTTTTCATAACTGTCCAATCATTGTCAGTTTTCCCCTTTTTACTGTGCAACATTGTAAATCTTATTTTCCTTTTTATCCCATTTTAATTCATTTTTCTTTTCCCAGGCTGCCTTTTATGATTTAACCTCTTTCGAGAAGATATATGCGTCTCTTATCAATTTCAATTTTCATTTCTTTCTTTCTTGTACTTTTTTTTTTTTTAATTTTACTTTTATTATCTCAAAAAGTAAGTCTTTCTATTTTTACTAAAACATTATATCTTCTTTTGAAACAAAGTTTTCAACTTTCGCCGCCATTTTTCTTTTACATGGACAGAAAAGAAGACTGAAGAACGAATGAAACTCATATTTCTTCTGCTTTCATTTCTCTCTTCCTTCTGACATTTTCTTTGCCCTGAATAATCTAGAGAAACCTTATCTGGGTTTATATCTCAAACAGTGATAAGCTTTCTGAAAAAAGACAATGTATGGAAAACTGAATATATATTCCACATACACATCACTATATAAATCAAATCTATATAAAAAAAATCGAAAAGGTTTTGTAAATATGCAAAATGAATAGATTTTTAAAGCTAGTCTAAAGGAAATAATGTTGTTAAAATATTTATAAATGCACAAAGATAAATATAGATAAATATTAAGTATTTAAACTTTTTTTATTTGCACACACACAAAGAAATTGAGAGAGAGAGAGAGAGAGAGAGAGAGAGGATGGAAGTGTGGAAGGGATGAAAGTTTTGTCTTATAAAAAACAATTCAACTCTTCCACAAAGGAAACGGAAAGAAAGCAAATAAAAAAAGAGTAAATCCAAAACTTTTACATTCTACAAATAGTTGGATTTTTTCCCTTTTATCTTTTTTTTTTAGTCCAGTTTCTCTGTATGAAGTTAGTTTTGAATAGATATGATAACTGCCACTTTTCAGAAAAAAGGCCATCTCTTCAGTATTGAGCTAGGCAGCTATGGGCTGGCAGATGACTTTACAAGCCAGTCTCCCTACTGCATACCTTATTTTTTTTTCATGTATGCGACGCACACAAAAGACTTTTGCAGGGTCTTTAAAGTGACTTTCTATACATGTGTAGTGGTGCTGTAAGTATTGTTGGCTAGGGTCACCGTGAATATAATCAAGAAGGAAAGCTGTGTTCTTGTAAACAACACCTCACATGAATCATGCACAACAAACACGAGAGAAAAATAATCAAGCTCAGTGAACATTAATAAAATATTTAACAATGATATACAAAAATCAACAATAGTATAAAGAAAGTTGCTTCCCTTCTTCTGTAATAAAAAGGGTAAGTTTAGCTAATTAATGTTGAGTACAATATTGAATTTTATTTAACTACAAAGTTCAATTGAAGTCTTAGCTAAATAAAGAATAGTTCCACAGTGTTTTATCAGTGTAGAAAGATGTAATGTTCATGAGTGATATCAATAGGAATTAGTATGATTACTCGATTGAGTAATAATTAAGAATTAAAATGTCAATATAGCGCTGTGCCTTATTTTATGGGTAAGCTCCGGAGACCTTGGCGCTAAAAATATAGAAAAGATACTAAAATACGCGATTGGTCAGGAAATGGACCAATCCGTGATTTTAGAGAAAATTTCAAATTACCTGCGATGGCAAAATTGTTATATGATAAGTATCATATATTTATGAACCAATGATATTGAAGGAAATGGAGGTGTGGCACATGTAAGTGATCCCCACACATGCACTATCATGTGCCTCTTCAGCCCGGCAGCAGTTCTGTAAATTCTAACGCAAAACCTAAGTCATGGCAATTGCTCCGAGGGCTGCATTCGCTGGTTCCCAGACTTCATGAGTTCAAGCGCCCTACGAGGCTGGCATCCCGCTCTCACCCTTTCACTGTCAGAAACTTCTAAATGTAGCCGTCTCTTCTACTCCAATAGCTTCATGTCTCGCACCCTCTCGCCTGTGGAACTCCTTCCTATTCCAGTTTCCCTGAGAGCTATAATCTCCAGCTATTCAAATGTAATGTCAATCGACATCTCAGTTGCCTTGATCTATCCACTACCCTTCTCCTCATCCTTTTCTTCTATCCTCCCTATCTGATCTTGCTCCAAATTTTTCTGTAACCCCCCTTGCATCCTAGTGGCTTCCCACATTGCTTGGGTTGAAACGCTTAAATAAAACAAAAAAAACTAGAAGTCATTTAAGAACAAGTTTGGGTGATGACCACTTGGATGATGTTTTGCACCTCTCATCAATAAATATTTCACCTGATGTGGAGAAGTTATAGAAAAATAAGCAGAAACAAGCATCTCATTTACTAATTTGCCATTTCTAATCATATTTTGTCTTGTCTCGCACCTCTCGCCTGTGGAACTCCCTTCTATTCTAGTTTCCCTGAGAGCTATAATCTCCAGCTATTCAAATGTAATGTCAATCGACATCTCAGTTGCCTTGATCTATCCCACCCTTCTCCTCATCCTTTCCTCTATCACTCCTATCTGATCTTGCTCCAAATTTTCTGTAACCCCTTGCGTCCCTAGTGACTTCTCGCCTTGCTTGGGGCGAAACTTAAAAAAGTACCATGGAGGCCTGTGAGGAAGGACTTCCACATAGTCAACATTAGTTAGTTAATTTTTATGCAAGTTTAAGTGTCTAGAAATCCAAATCTTGCATGAGGTACAAGAATCTTTCTGCAGATGTTACAAACTCAGGCTGAATATCTTCTGGGATCGAGTTTACCTTGTATACTCTCACTCCCCCCCTGTCTAGAAATGGCTGCCTTATACCCGCCTTGCCTGCATCATCCGTTGGTATACTAAGCTACTACCCGCTCATCTTATTTTTCGGCATGTCCTTCACAAGTGTTTGATTGTTTTTAATAAAGGAATTCCATTAATAAAACATTCTTGTGTGGTCGTTGCTCGGGATTAAATTATTTCAATGTTTTAGATATTCAGTAAATTTCCTATGGCTGTAATAACTTTCAAATAGTATGACATTATTCACAAATCTAATAATCAAACAAAAACAGGGATGAAGCATCAGAGCTTGATTCAACGCATGAACGTCCACCTCCATCTTCGCACATTTACTGTAAAACTGGGTTTTTCCCCTTTTAATGTTTCAGTAATCCTTTTCAAACAATCTTTGCATCAAAGGTTGTTCGAATGCCAATTTAGGATGGAATCATATGAAGAAACTATTGGTTAAATGGCAAAAGGCGATTTTGAACCAAGTTTGTTGCAGATTTCGTCTTCTTAACTGAAATAATCTAAACAAAACATTAACGCAAGACAATTTGTGTGTCATATGTAATTTACATGGCAAATTTGGAAAATATCGGATGAAACGGGCTTTTTGAACAGTTTTTCGTGGTTTTTCATTATACGCGGGGAAGCAAACAGGACTAAAACCTTATCTTACTTCTTGCCTGATGGCAAATATTTTGCGACATTTTTGAAGAAAATTGGATAAAAAATGAAATTATTCAAGTTTTTATTTTAAGTAGTACGAAAAACCCGATTTTTAAAAGAATTTTTACAGTTTTTGGAATTTTTTGTGTGAATCCAATGTCGCAGGAAAACTGTTAAGCAGTCTACATAAATCTCGTAACATGAGCTATGTTTTGCATTAAGTGAAAGGGACCCCAGCTCATCCAGTAAAAACGTTGTTCGCGTGTAACTTTGCCTTGATTTTAGCAAAATGTCGTACCCACCTACAGTTTTATCGATTTTTCGGGCAAACCCGGGGAGTGGCTGAAGATTGAAAAATTGGTCTTGACCACTTTTGGTAGTGTTGCTATGTGTGTAAAATGTCATAAAAATCAGTCGCGAAATGTGGACGTGCATAAATAATAGACAGAGACACACACACAGACCTCTTCTGTTTTATAGATATAAATATGCTAGGTCAGCTGCTAAGAAACTTGGTTCACTGTGTCATACGAGACAATTTTTCTCTCTAGAATCTATCATACAAATCTATCAGTCTACCATTCGTCCATGCTTAGAATATTGCTGCCACAAATGTTCTGGTGCTCTTGGTATTTTGGGAGTCACTCACGTCATAGCAGCAGAAATAGCCTCGTGTTCACAGGAGAGAAATCATACACAGAGATAGCAGTAAAAGCATGATAAATTGTACATTAATATCGTACAATTTATTTATTTTTGCGTTTCTATTTTTGGTTACAAGTGTTTTAAAGGTTGCATGTAATAAAACGAAGACATTTGTATTATTACAAGCAATGTCCTGGAGAGAAAGTTGGGACTGTCCACCTGTCAATAGGAGAGGGATCGAATTCAACGTCTTTTGGCGGGATATCCGTTTTCCGACAGGAACAGTTTCTATTGCATGCTGGGAGAATATATATTATTTTTATTTTTTATTTAATTTAACAAACTTGGTTTAATTTATTTTATACAAAATTTTAATATTATTGTTTTATTTTATTTTATTTATAATATTCATTATTGTGTTGTTTTTTTTTTGCCTTCAACGTGTGTAGTAGTGAGTTAACTGAGAAGAGTTCCATATAACAATGACAAGATATTCATATCATGATCAGGCAGATATGATTTTTACAAATGGCTGCATTTTACATTTAACAGAGTCTACTGTAAACTTTAAACTTAACTCAAAAATGTAAACTTTAAACTTGTTTTTTATTTGAGGAATTCATAAAAGATTATAAAAGTA